GTCGCGCTGCTGATGACGTCAGGTACGCGCTTTAATCGGGCGCGCTTTAGTGGACCGCGGTTTTGACGGGTCACGGAGTTTCACACCCCTGTACTAGATGCTCTGAGACTCGGCTCATCTTTTGAGAAGACGGTAGTACAGCTTGAGGTGACCACAAAAACCTAGAGTACTGCATCCAGTTTTGGTCACTACTCTATAAAAAAGATGTTGAGACTCTAGAAAAAGTGCAGAGAAGAAGCAATCAGGATGATTAGGGGACTGGAGGCTGAAACATTTGATGGAACGGTTAGGACTAGATGACCTATAAGGTTCCTTCCAACTCTGTTAATCTGTTAATCAATTAGCATTAAATTTTCAGCTGACCATGTGCATGGACAGTCCCGTGATCCTCTAAGAGAACATATCATAAATAGAAAATGGTATCAGCAAATGAACTTTAATAATAAGTCAATTCTTATTTACCTAAACAGAGAAACAGAATGACTAGACAAAAGACGCAGTGCAGGTGAGGAACACTTTTGACTTCCAGCTGGCTTCCCCATTGACATTGTTTGTGGGAAACTGGCAGGGAGTGTCACATGTCCCACGGATGCTGCAACCATCCTGAATACATGCCTGTGACCAAAAACCTGAACACTGATCACATGATTGTGGTGGTCGGTCACTTTTGTTGTTGTAACTTTGAACCATTGCTAAACAAATGGTTCTAAGCCGAGGGCTACCTCTATTGCAAATCAAGTAAAGCCACCTACTTGGAAATGTTTGGCCCAGCCATGACTCTCAACAGGAGTTCCATGTCTTCTGCATAACGACACATAGGTCCAGTGCACAGGAAGTTTATACGATGGCCAACCGCATCAGGAAACTGGCCGTCATTGGGCACCACGCCTACAAAAACCCACAGAAGCAGAGTTTAGTCCTGCACGACAAGCCACATTTCTCCTAGTCTGGCATTCGCAGTTGCTTCTTTTCATAGGTTGTGTTGTGACTCGGCAGAAACCTCCTGTGAGTTGTTTCGGGATGCTCACAGGAGATGTTAACGAGCAGCTGTGGCTCATTAGGATCTCTCCTCCTGCGGATAAAAGACTGATGGCGCCACGCCCTAGTTGCAGAAGTCAACGTTTCGTTTCGTTCCGTTCCGTTCCTGTTCTAGTCAACGTTCCCTGTTCGTGTTCATGATTCAGAGAAACCAACTTGGAGAAGTGGTTTGCTGTAAGAGTTTGTTTTTGCATTTGCTG